TTGATATACAAATTGAGAACCTTAAATCTTACACTGGATTGAGATAATAGGCAGCTGCATGAAGAGGTTTGTGTAATTGCAAGTTCCATCTAGTGTCAACAATAGTCCATATGGGCTCATAGTGCTTCTTCACATTATGAATTTTTTTTTGGATTTGTTCATTTGCCTTGTCCATTGCCTTGTAAATAAACTCAATGGCAGGCTTTATATCCCCATCTACAAACCTCAACACCTTCACCAATGGCAACACACACTTCAAGCAATACTTGATTGATCCCAAAAAATTTTGGTCAGCTAGTATAATATCCATAACTTTTACACATAGTTTTAAAATCCGGCCCGGACATCAACCCGGTGAAGGGACTTGGTCAATGGGTCACTGGTTCAATCGTTGGGTTAGTGGTCGGACCGGTAATATAATAAAAAATTAAAAAATAATTATAAATAATAATAAATAAGCTAAAATACAATAATTATAAAAATAACATCATGTAAAATTAAATAGAGAAAAATCATCAAACATATATCCAATTTCAATATATCCAATCTTAATGTATTCAATCCAAAGCAGTAGGCTGATAGTTGAACTGTGATGCGATTGGGGTCTGATACTGGACCCTAATTTTCCTTCACATTCCTGGGATCTATCTATAAGGTGATTTTTTATTGCTTTCTGGACTGAACAGATATAGCAAAATATACATCACAGATGTGGAAGAACAAATATAACCCAGTTCATGTATCTCTTATTTACTTTCTGGACTGAACATATATATACATCACACATCAACATCCATAGCAGTTTGTGGGAATGAAGAGCATCCCAAGGATGATTACTAAGAAGAATTTTTAACAAGAAACGCAAGGACAAGTTCTAGATAAGGTGATAATGGACGGGAAAAAGTTTTTACGCAACAGAGACCGAGAAAAAGGGGGGAGAGAGAGAGAGGGAAACTCACTGGATTGGGTCACTGGAGGCTGGCCAGTCATTCGTGGTGGAGGCTGATTAGTCGTTGGTGCTGTTGATGCCGGAGTGGAGGCTGTGCTCATTGGTCTGGAAGACTGGAACGATTTAGGGCAAATCAAAAGGGGGAAACACTCAAATGCCCAAATGATTGAAAAAAAATCTCATATTTATAGAAATGACATTAAACCAGCCGGTTTGCTAAAACCGTTTGGTTCTCACGGTTTATCGATTTTTGACCGATTTAACGAGTTTATAACGGGTTTCTTACATAAACGATTTTTTATTAAACCCGGCCCGATTAGGGGACCGGTTCACCGGATTGACCCGCCGGGCCAGGCCGGGCCGGGTTTTAAAACACTGCTTTTACACCATCTCCCTTCTTAGAGTATTGACTTTTCTGTCATTCTTCAGAAGCAAACATTGCTCTAAGCCTAATTTTATTTTCAAATAAACTCCTCAAAGTTAAATACGAGGTGGCAAATCTGGTCACACATGCTCTCACCAAATCCCTATTCTATGTATACTTCCTCATAAGATTTAACACCCAAGAATGTCTATAGATGTAAGTTGTGATTTTCCTTGCCTTTACTATTATATCCTTGTGTAGAGGAAGGTCTCCAATATCCGTCAAAATAAGATCTAGGCAATGTGTAGCGCAAGGAGACCAAAACAACTTTTTTGTCTTTACCATTAACGACTCCTTAGCTTTTATGTAAGTCGATGCACTATCAGTCACAATTTGAACAACATTGTCATCACCAATCTCTTCTACCATTGAATCTAAAAGCTGAAAAAGATTATCTGTATTCTTACAAATGCCTGAAGTATCAATACTTTTATGAAACACACTTCCTCTTGGACTATTCACTAAAAAATTAGTGATAGAGCGATGTTTCCCATCCGTCCATCCATCAGACATAAGAGTACAACCCGTCTTTCTCCACTTTGCTTTATAATTTTCTATTAACCCACCATTAATCATATCTGTTTCTTTTTTCAAAAAAGAACATCTCACCTCATGATACGATGGAGGTTTCAATCCCTTGCCAAATGATGCAACAGATTCTAACATTCTTACAAACTATGGATCTTTTACAAAATTAAAAGGAAGGGCATTAGCATAAAAACATCTACAAATATTCAAGTATATATCTTACCTACCCTTTTTCTTCAACATGGTATTCAAAGTAATGGTAGTGGTTGGTTGTATTTTATCAGTACTACTACCCGCATTACCATTACTACTTTTGAAGGTTTTCAAATCCACAAGACTCATATCTTTGCTAGAAGCCTTATCATCCAACAATTACTTAAAAAATTTAATTACTTCCTTAGGACAATGCTTACGTGATGCTACATCTTTACGAATACCTGTCAAATGATTTTTCATTCTTGAAATGCCTCCCGAATAGATATTTGCACAATGAATGCATTTCAATTTCAACCTTGATCCTTCTACTTTTTCACAATGTTCCCATGTGGGATCATTAGCAAGTTTTTTAGTTATTTTCATATAGAAATAGGATGCTGGTGATGCTACTGCTTCAAGAAATTAACATTAATCAAGAATTAAGATTAAGAAATTTTGACACAAAAAAATATTTGGTTTTGTAAATAAATTAACATCATTTCTTACACTGTACAGGTTTCACTGAAGTGCTGGAGAAGAAAGAATAAGGCAGTTGCAGGTGCAGATCTAGATTAGAGGCTGCGACTAGCTTGGCTGCTTTGATGGTTTCTTAGGGTTTGCTGCCTTCGTTGATGAAGAACAGAGAGAAGAGAAATAGCAGGCTTAGACACACTGAGAGGAACAGAGCTTTGTCTTCGATGAAGAATGTGGAGATTGGGCTCATCATCTTGAAGCACAATGGGCTTAGACACACTGAGTTTTGTTGTCTTCAGGAATAGAGAGAATAGAGAGAGGGGCTAGGGTTCATCGCTGTGAAGAACAGAGAAAAGAGAGACTCGGGCTACTGTGTTTTCGTCGTCAGGAAGAACACTCAGAAGCCAGTGAAGACGAAACGAAGAATGGAGAGAGACGATCACGAAGAAGAGAAATTTTTTTTTTTTTTTAATAAACCCTAGCCACTGAAACGACGTTGTTTCAGTGGCTATAGGGATAAAAAAATCAGCCTCTAACATAAAATGACGTCGTTCCAGCAAAAAAAAATTAAACAGCATATGCGTTTATCGTTCGTACCGTATCGTAAAAATATATCGTGTATCGGACGATACAACGCAAAAATAATACAAAATTACGATTCGTATCAGTTTACCTTTGTATCGTATGTAGCGTACGATACGTATCGTACGATACTAACAACTATTTTTACAACTACACGCCACAATGTTACATATACGGTTGGTGTGCTTAGTCAGTTCATGCATGAGTCCTCATAAGCCTCATTGGGTGGCTGGCTGCCGCATACTTTAATATCTAAAAAGAGCTCTGAGGAAAGTGTTATTATATCATCCATCATTATCCATAACTTTGATAGTTTTTTTGATTTTAATTGAGCAATTAGTTATGATGATAGACGATTTACTTTTGGCTATTGTACATTTGTTGGTGATAATCTTGTTACTTCACATAGTAAAAAGTAGAACATGGTTGCTTGTTTTTGTGTCAACTAGGAAGTATGGATATAGACACGGGCATGCGGCGAAATTTGAAAATATAGGATATAGGTACGACAATAATACGACTATTGTAATATATTTTTAGTTAATAATAAATTTATAATATTTAAAAATAAAGCATGTAGGATAACAAAATTAATAATAATACCTATTAAATATTAATTTTTTGATTAAATTGAAATAGATCAAAATAAATATCTATTATTTTCATCAAACATCATTACATCTATTAACATTCATAGTATATAAGTTATATAACAAAAGTATATTAAAAAAATAGAAAGTACACTCCTTTTAATAGTTAATAGTCGTTTTTTTTTTAAAAAGATTTTTGGTCGTATCCTTGTTGTGTACTAACCATATCTGACTAAGTTTACTATTAAGTGTCCAACACTGTCACGGTACCATCCGAGAAGTATCCATGCTTCCTTGTGTACGGAGGCTGAGTATCATGGTATGACACATTGTGAGATGTTATAGGTTCATTCTTTGCTTCATGATATGGGACTGGATGTGTCTTTCCCTATGAAGATGTATTGTGAGTCTGTGACAACCAAACAACTATTTTCGTCGCAACTAATCCCATATTTCATGGGCATACCAAACACATTGAGGTGAATTACTATTTCATTCGAGATCTCTTGATGCAAAAAGAGATTAACACTCTATATATCAAAGCTGGTGATTAGTTGGGTGACATTCTTATCAAGTCATTGACTTTGTTTGCTTTAAGTTGTTTATGTTCCAAGTTGGATATTTTTTAACTGTATACTTCTGGTTGAGGGGGAGTTAGAGTTCTTATTAGACATAAGTTAATTAGTGTAGGACAATATTGTAATTACTTAAATATTATTCAGTTATAAATAAGAGTGTAGGGCAACCTAACCTATACAACTGATTATGCTTTTCTTGTTTGCCTCTTCTATGTCTCTCTTCCTCCTTCTTTTGAACCCAAATATTATATTTACTATTTCAACTCTAAGATTATGGTCAAGGATTGGGGGCCCTAAGGGTTTCATTATGGGTATTGGCAAAGGCTACACATCTCACCCCCATGCCACTTTGCAGGTCATGTAGCTGTATTTTTAGACCAGAATTCAAGTTTTCCGAATTTATCAGATTTTTTGCACTCTAATACCTCCCTGCACTGACTTGATTGAGCGGAAAGGGTATATTGTACATGAGTGGTTGGCTTAGTGATGGCTAACCACATGCTTTTTGGCCCTTTTCTTGTTCCTCCCTTTTGCTGGTTCAGTTTTTGCCTGTGCTTGGATTATTTACATTTAATGTTATATCCTTTTCTTCAAGTAACTATAAAACATCATTAATTGGATCCTGTTTTAATTTGGACAGTACTTTTGCTGACCAACAATTATAAAAAATTCTTTTGTAGGGGATGGTTGGGCTATGCCTTTGCGTTAATGCTCATCTTCTTAGCAGTCTTTGTTGTTCTCACACGGTGTTTTAGCCAAGGCAGACCTGTTGATGAACTCAAGGTAGCAGTACCTCCGGCAATGAACACAATGGAGCAGCTTTTGGCTGTACAGAATGCCATCTCTCAAGCTGAAGAGCTAATCCAGGATGGAAATATTGTTCTTCTCAAGCTGCGCGCCTTACTGTTGTCAATTTTTCCACAGGTCCTTTTTACTTCGGTCCTTTCTGGCTTGCAAATTTTCTCTCTTTGGTGGGCTGGTGATGGCCAGCAAAGAACATTATATTTTAATAACTGGCAAAAATTTGAGTTAAAGCTCAACATCAATTTGGATATGGTGCATCACATCACGGAATAGATAATTTTTGTTATCTTTAGAGCTAAGAAGGTTGGAAGAAAGAAGGAATGATATATAATCTCTTAAGCACGGATACTCGATTTAGTTCTAAGTAGCCGTCTTGAATATGTATTGGGGAGGATACACACGATACTTGAGAATATGCAGCCAATAATTAATAACAAGCCATGGCCTCATGCGATACAAGGAATTTCTGTCTTACCTATATTCTCATAATCTTGAGCAGTATGAGATGGTTAGGTAACATAGAGGAGTGGGTGTTAAGTTTTCAAAATGACATAAGAACTATTTGTTGGTTGTTGCCCACAAACGTAGGAGTGTAGGGGTAGGAAGAGTCCAAGTTCATTATTCCACAAATGTGATGATTAGAGCAGATAATTTTTGAATTTAGGAGTTCAGATAATGAGAATTTTTAGGGAAGGCTCCTCAAGCCTTCTCTTTCAAAGACTGATTGTAATACTATATTTGTTTATTCTGGATACTTCTTGGATGTAGGCGTCTAAGAAGAATACATCAATCGTGTCTTTGTTTTTCACTGAATGCTTATACACCATATGATAGAAAGACAAATTGATCGATTACACCCTATTTCTTGGCAACAAATAAACCAGCTAGTGAAACGCTGGTTATAGTTCCTTTAATTACCCACATTTACTTTATTGATATACCATAAGGATAGGAGTATAGAGATATTATTTAATGTGTATATATCCTAGTTGTAATCTTTACTTTTTTTAGGTTTTGTCGTATGGTTGCTTTTGTACCGTAATATATTTGTATTCATATCCATATTTGTATTGGTGATTCATAATGTAAAATGAAGGTTACCATCTTGTGGTTTCCTGGAGCCACACATAATGTGAAGACCCTGCCCCATTACCGGGACCCTGTCTTCCAAGGGTTAACCTCCCATTACCGGGATATCACCACCCTCCACCAAAGGATTTCGGCTAACCTGTGGGTCAAACCCCCACAGTAGCCTTTACCTCCGATGTGGGACAGAGGTAAAGGCTACTGTGGGGTCGTCCTGCTGTAGCCGAAATCCTTTGGTGGAGGGCGGTAATGCTCTTGGAAGACCTATATCCCGGTAATGGGAGGAGTCTTCACACAAAAGGCGCCTTTTATGTGAAGACCCTGGTCCATTACCGGACCCCTGTCTTCCAAGGGCATTCCTCCCATTACCGGGATATCCCGCCCTCCACCAAAGGATTTCGGCTGACCTGCGAGGCAACCCCCCACAGTAGCCTTTACCTCTGTCCCACATCGGGGAAAGAGTCGTCTCCCCACCCCCATATAAGCCGAAGCACCATATGAGAGCAGTACCCAAGTAGCACACTGTGGTACTTGGGTACTGCTCTCATATGGTGCTTCGGCTTATATGGGGGTGGGGAGACGACTCTTTCCCCGATGTGGGACAGAGGTAAAGGCTACTGTGGGGGGTTGCCTCGCAGGTCAGCCGAAATCCTTTGGTGGAGGGCGGGATATCCCGGTAATGGGAGGAATGCCCTTGGAAGACAGGGGTCCGGTAATGGACCAGGGTCTTCACACATAACCCCCCAGGCTTGAAACATAAGCACATAACCGTCTAGTGGCCATGGACTAGAAACACATGATGTCGTTAATGGTGCAGCGTGAAAAGACATTTGAAGTTGCCTCTAAATTTATCATTTTTTGCATCTACTCTCTCTCTCCTCTTTCTGAAACACTGGCCATGGAAATCATCTCACGACCTCACAAACATATTCATCTATATGTAGATATATGCATACGTCCTCATTCCCAATTTAGATTCCACTTGCCCTTTTTTATAGGCCGCCAAATTAGAATCTAATTCAAAAGTCAAAGTATATTTTCATACGACATTCTCTATATACCCTGATTTCAAGTTTGTAAGATGGTTCAAAAAATGAAATTTCAAAGTCAAAGGGAGGGTAGTGTTAGAAAGTGAAGGTTTTCCTAATATAACTTAAAACCCATCCATTATTACTTGGTTTTCTTTGCCATAATTTAAACCCTTAGCATTATTCCTCAAGGGGACAATGAAATTGACACTTCAAAAAAGACTTCTAGCACTCAGAGAAGTTAAATTTTTTTGCATAATTGGAGTTTCAATAGTAGATATTGCAATGCCAATATCATTCTCTTCCTTAAAACATTGGGATCCTGAAAAGGATACCAGATTTTGGTGTAGAGGGAGTATGCATATTTAACGTTATTTTTTTGTCAGTTTCCCTTCTATATGTATATGCAGAACTCACATTTGCCCCTTATGTGTGTGTGCATGTGTTTGTTGATGGCTCATCTGAGTGTGTGCATGCTCATGCATGTGCCCACAAGTTTTTCAGCTGATGGAGTGGTTGGTGCGGTGGTGGTTTTCTGATGGTGATGGGTGTAAGTTGAGAAGTATGAGTTTAAAGCTTTTAAGTGTAAAATTGGTGGTTTATTGGAGTGAGAGAATTGTTTGTCAGAGTGTTAAGTTTGAAGGAAAATGAAGATGTACTGGAAGGTACAGATGTTTTTTACTTTTTCTTTTTCTTTTCTTCTTTTTTTTTTTTTTTTTTTGGGGGGGGGGGGGGGGGGGGGGGGGGGGGGGGGCTCTTGGTATGGTGGTGGTATGTTGAAGGAGAGAGCAAAGGAGAAAAGAGGAAGTGAAAGGAAAATAAAATGTGTAGGAGGGTATTTGCATCACTTTATATTTGTTTACTTGACTGAAAATTTGTCTTATAGGCATTTGGCATTTAACTTCAGTGAAAAACTTGAAAGTTGCACTTTAGTCTAAAAGCACTGGGGTAATGTGCAAAAACAAGTGGGTCATGTGCAACTCAGGCAAACCACAATGAGGTAAGTTGCATTCTACCAAAGAGCATAATCGGAGTTACAACCTGCTTCTGCCTCCCATCACCTTGGCAAAAGGTTATGTCTGTTGTCATTAGTAGGCACTAGTCACCTAATGAATATGAGAGTAGCCTTGGAGCTGCAACCTTGTTTAATTCATAGAAATTTGCTTCTTTACAGATGCTAAAGGGATGCTTTTTTTCTATCCAGCATCTTTACTAAATTGTTGTTGAATCTCTTAATATACCCTCATACGGAATCTTAAATTTTAGCTCTGACTTTACAAGTAAATTAATCTAGGTTTATTCTTATACTTGTGTGTCTTATTTCAGGCAAGTGAGAAATTCGTAGGTTCTCTTTTTTTGTGGCATTCATTATGGCCTTCTTGCCCAGTAAATACCTAACCCTATTGGTATTTTTGGAGGCATTTACAAAGTACTCACCTCTTAGAAGGGCAAGCACGGAAAGATGGACAAGGAGAATAAGAGAGTGGTGGTTCAGCATTCCGGCAGCCCCTGTTGTTCTTGAAAGAGATAAGGAGGACAAAAAGAAGAAGTGATGTAATTATTTGTAAATATGCTCAAAGGTATGTCTTGTGATGTAACAAACCCCCCGACATCTCTCGGAATGTACATATTTGTGATGATGAAAAAAAAAGGATTACGAAAACATCAATAATTTGCAATTGCCTCACTATGGCAATGCAACTTTTGAGTGCAATTGTATATCGAGATCCAAGGAATAAGATATTCCTACAAAATATAAGGTAAATGAACCACAGAAGCAGGAAATTGAGGTTTTTCATGTACTATTGGTACAACAATTTCTACTTTTATTTCGCGTAATGTCAACACTAACGCTTAGCTGATGGATGTGGAAATTCTATTCGAGTTGGATATTTTGTTTCTGTATTACACATTTTGCCACTCAACCTGTTGTATTATATGTACTCTTTGTAGAGTTTATAAATTATTTTAAAAAAAAATTCTTTTTGTATATAATGCACATGGTGCATGATGAGTAAACAGCATGGAAACAGTTTTGTCAATTTGATTAAGATAATTGGCCAATATGGCACTCATCCGTATAAATGGTGAAGGTATAACAAAAAATTTCCATAACATAGGAGTTTTTCGGAATTCTCGATATCCGTTTTGTACCGAGTCTAATAAATCACTTGAGCCTTTAGCATAACACCACCTAACAGACCAATATACTTTTTCGTATAATCCAACAATTGTGCACTAAGATTCTTATGATTCGACACTCACACTTAGTCATGTGGGATGGAGCCTTTAGTACTAAAGGGATTACGCTTGGTGCCCGGAATAAAGGGGGATTCCCAGCGAAGACTCGGGGTGGTTCGTAGCTAGCTCGTTTCCTTTATAAGCTGAACACTTATTACTATTTTTGAATGGGACATCAAGGACAGTGGAACCTTCATCTTAGAATGTTGGAATTGGTTTGAACTATTATTGTGGGATATGGGCGAGTAAGGTGATATGCTGTTTGGATTCTGGAGGAAGATATCACACCAGATTATGTCCTCTGACTGACATGCTTGCCTCATGGCTATCTCAATCACGTGCCCGGCCACTCACATGCTCGCTTTAGGGCTAATTCTATCTACATCAGTTGCCCCTAGTTCAGACCAGTGGAAAACATACTCTATGTATTAATTACACTTGTCTGTTACGTAGAAGTGGAATCGTTTGCTTCATGCACGTAACCGCCAAAGAATCTATTTGGGCCCAATATATATAAAAGTCCATTTTCTTCTTCTCTGGCTGTCTTCGAGAACTATTGGAATTTTGGTACACCTTTACCTCTTTTCTCTAATTGCTTTTTGCTCTCCTACTTCACCATGATTCTTCACTCTGGAGTGCATAGATCAGAGCCATGTATTCCAATTTTAAGTTTTACCATTTTTGCTTTTTGAGGTGGAGGAACTCTAGCCTTGAATCTTTAGGATTTTTTGTGAGTGAATCTATTAGTGCTCGACTTGCGTCTATGCTCTAGTTTTGCCTTTCTTTAGTTGTTAATAGACTTAATCGCTTTCTCTCCTTGAATTTATATATCAACCACCATAGCTTCCCGATTATGGCGATCGACTCTAATCAATCCCCTTCTAAGAGTGTTCTGGTATTCGTAGCCCAAGCCAATGC